CAACAGCAAAGTGTGTGAGCAGAAACAAATTCAGTTAACGGTGGAATGATATCAGCCAGACAGTCAGCCAAATTGGCATGAAAGTCTTCTGCATTTGCCAGCTATGATCTCCAACAGTCCTGTTGTTTGTCCACATCTGGACTTTGGTCTCATTTCAGTACTCGAGTGAGACATGCACATCCGCTTTATAGATCTGGCTTATTTTTGTGCAGACTGTTTTGTCCTTACTTTTGCAGCATAAGCACTCTGACTTTGATGGAATTGTTGGCATGGAAATAAACTACAATTTTCAAGTCTTAAGTTCACAGTTTGGTACAGAAATAAAGGTTTGAAGCCGAGAAGATTGACTTCGGTGCACTTGGTTTTGTCCAATATGGCTCTGTCTCACTGAGCAGAATGGCTAGCTGCCTTGATTTATAAATAAGAAATCATAGCCTTAATTCTTCAGTTGGCCAGGAAACCAATAAGAAGATAAACCAACCATTTGGAGCTAAGGTCAGCATGCATGGCCCCACCCGCACTAGATATATTAATAGGTGAAGAAACTTCTCAAAGAAGCTGTGAAATAAGTGCAGTGGGCAACCCTGGTGACATACTGGTTGTATATGGGTGGGTTAACCCTGGAGCCATATCGGCTGTATGTGGCTTTATAAACTTCAGAGCCACACTGGTTGTATCTGGGAGGGTCAAATCGAGAGTCACGCATGTTATATTTAGGTGGGTCAAATCCAGAATCACACATGTTGTATTTAGGTGGGTCAAATCAGAGTCACACATGTTATATTTAGGTGGGTCAAAACAGAGTCACACATGTTATATTTAGTTGGATCAAATCAGAGTCACACTTGTTATATTTAGGTGGGTCAAATCAGAGTCACACATGTTATATTTAGGTGGGTCAAATCAGAGTCACACATGTTGTATTTAGGTGGGTCAAATTAGAGTCACACATATTATATTTAGGTGGGTCAAATCAGAGTCCCACATGTTATATTTAGATGGGTCAAATCAGAATCACATATGTTGAATTTAGGAGGGTCAACCCAGAGTCACACATGATGTATTTAGGTGGGTAAACCCAGGTTGAAACACAAGAGACCTGATACTGCTGGGGATTGGTCCAGGACCACAGTTTTGACAAAGACTGGCACTAACAACTTGTCCGCCCCAGCTTTGGTAGGCAGGTAACTTGTACATTCAACTTACGGACAAACTGCTGGACATGTGTGTTTGTGGGTGAATGAGATATGTAAGAGTGGGTGATTGACTGACTGACTTTCTACCCCACCAGGACATCACACAAGCGATAAACACCCGATGACACAAAGTGTCACCATGTGGATGATGATCGCCGTGGAGAGGTCCTAGAAACCGCGTTCAGACATTTGGCCATATGTATGGCCTGCCTATATTGCGGCCCCTGGCAGAAGCCAGAGTAGGGCTTCAAATGACAAAAAATTTCGTCCTGAAAAGAACGAAATTGAGAATAGGGAGAGTGGGTGATTGAGTAAAAGTGAGTGACATAAAAATGGGCAGAGAGTGGGGGGGGGGGGGGGGAAGGAGAGACTGATTTGTCATGGTAACAGGAGAATGTATTGTATATAAATATGCTAACAATGTTGACCCTTATATATGATTGCCACCAGGCCTCAACTGTGAAACAGAGATTGATATCTGTGTCACTCGGCAGCCATGCCAGAATGGAGGCCAGTGTGTCGTTACGGGAAACAGCTTCAGGTGCAACTGCCCACTGCCTTGGATGGGAGACAACTGCAATCATCGTAAGTGCCCTTGATGATGTTTTTAGAAGAAAAAAAAGATAACATTATAATGTCATGAAATTCCCCGTGTGGGTTCCGGGGCCCTATTGTGGGGAAAACAAGAATAGACCCACTGCCTCCCCAAAAGCATGTCGTAAGAGTCGACTAATTGGGGAGCTTCCTTTGAAGTTGGAGTGCATCTGCCGGAGAGGCAAGGAACCAGCAGTCTGCATTCAGTTGAATCAGATCTGTAAAACTGATGCACACGCAACACTCAGGTTCTGGAACAGGACTGCAGTCCAGAAGTGGACGAACAACCAGAACTTTACACCAGAGTGTACAGCTGGTGAACGCGAAGAAGAAGAAGAAGAATGTCACGAAATGTTATCTTTGAATGCCTTAGCTGTGTAAATGTATGAGGGAGCTTAAGGTGAAAACCTTAAAAGTGTCATCAAAATAAAAAATAAAAACATGCTGTTTCTTTAGTTCTCCCGCCTTCACTGATAAAAACCGAATAACAGAACGCTACTCCTCTTTGTTTCATGTCAGATTCGTAGTGGTCATCATTCAACTGTCATCATGATGTCACCGTGTTCGTCTGCACCATGATGTCCCACTCTTAACATTCCTAAACAAAATATGGACAGGTTACAAGACAAGGGGAATTGTTATTTTAATTTCTATCACACTTTTAAGGGTTTCGCTTGAAGCTTGAAGCTTCCTCATATAATATGGAACATTAATTTCTTTATATACACACACAACTCGGTACCTCATTCATTCACTCACTCTCTACTTCATTCACTCTCGCTGTTTTTCTCACTTATTCTCTTTTTCACACATCCTTCCACTCCTTCTCTGTGCCCCTGTTTCATCATCTGCCACTACTGACTTAATGCGGTCAATGCTGACCCACAAAAACCAGCATTATGTACCATTGTTTCTTATATGATTCTTGTTCAGCATCAAGTAGAGACAAACTACTCCCCATATTGTCTACCCTGGTTCAGTATCATATAGAGACTTCCTGATATTTTTTTCCCTGGTTCAGCATTATGTAGAGACAAACTATTCCTTGATAGTATCTCCTCTTGTTCAGCATTATGTAGAGACATGTTACTCCGTAATAGTGTCTCCCCTTGTTCACCATTATGTAGAGACATGCAACTCAATGATATTGTCTCCCATGGTTCACATCACGTAGAGATAGACACAAGTCTCCCTGATATTGTCTCCCATGGTTCACATCACGTAGAGATAGACACAAGTCTCCCTGATATTGTCTCCCATGGTTCACATCACATAGAGATAGACACAAGTCTCCCTGATATTGTCTCCCATGGTTCAGCATCAGGTAGAGATAGACACAAGTCTCCCTGATATTGTCTCCCATGGTTCAGCATCACGTAGAGATAGACACAAGTCTCCCTGATATTGTCTCCCATGGTTCACATCACGTAGAGATAGACACAAGTCTCCCTGATATTGTCTGATTTTGTTCACCATCATGCAGAGACAAGCCACTGCCTGATATTTTCTTTCCTTGTTCAGCATTACATAGAAACAAACCACTCCCTGATATTGTCTTTCCTTGTTCAGCATCACACAGAGACAAACCACTCCCTGATAGTGTCTTCCCTTGTTCAGCATCGCGTAGAGACAAGCCACTCCCTGATAGTGTCTTCCCTTGTTTAGCATCATGTAGAGACATGCAACACCCTGGTAGTGTCTTCCAGTGTTCACCATCATGTAGCAACGTGTCACCCCTGATAGTGTCTTCCCTTTTTTACCATAATGTGGAGACATGTCACCCCCTGATACTGTCTTTCCTTGTTTACCATAATGTGGAGACATGTCACCCCCTGATAGTGTCTTCCCTTGTTTACCATAATGTGGAGACATGTCCCCCCCCCCCCCCCTGATACTGTCTTCCCTTGTTTACCATCATGTGGAGACATGTCACTCCCTGATAGTGTCTTCTCTTGTTTACGATCGTGTAGAGACACGTCTCTCCCTGATAGTAAATCTCCTTGTTTCGCATAATGTAGAGACATGCCACTCCCTGACAGTGTCTCCCCCCCCCCTCCCCCCCCCCTCCCCCCCACCTTTTAACTCTTTCCATCACAGAAGCGTATAGTTGATGACCTAGTGAGTAACTTGTGAAATCAACAAAATAAGGATATACTACATCCACACGGCCGAAATACAGAACCCTTGTGGCAGATACGTGTGTTGTTGAGCATTTTAGCATCTTCCAACTAAATACAAAAATGTGTATTAAAATGTTAACTGTTGCATATGAGTAAATCCAGTCACACATGGTGCATTATTTGGGACTAAAGTAGTTACGTTTGGCATCATGTAGAGCAGTGATCTCCAATATTTTTCTGATTGTGCTCCATTTGAGTATATGCAAGACCCCCTTTTGAAACCACTGATGAAAAGACATGTCATCTCTACAATGTTTCTCTTGGCCTATACTGTTAATGTCCATTGAGCATATTGATGGCTCTAGTATTGTGTTCCTCCCAAGGTTTTGACTGTGGATTTATTTGGTGCATCGTTTCTCTTTGTAGGGGAGCCACTGAATACAAGCATTGAAGTTATTGGCCATGGCTATGTGGAGTTTAGTAAAGATCTGCTCCCTCATCAGCGCCGCAACACCGTCGAGATCATTAGTGTCACAATTGCAACTACCGAACCCAATGGCTTGTTCTTCTGGCAGGGGCAACAACCGGGAAGTCAGAAGGGCAAGGATTATCTGGCCCTTGCCCTAAATGGTGGTTATGTAGAGTTCAGGTAACTGTTTCATTATTGCTCTTTTTAACTGGTACTTCTTTTTTTTTTTTACAGTTTTAGTCATTGTTGTGGTGCTTGTTGTTATTGTTGTGTCTGTGTTTGTTGTTGGTTTGCTTGTTGTTGTTGTTTTGCTTGTAACTAGATGTTATTATGCTGGTTAGTGTGGTTTTGTTGTTATTGTTCTGCTTGTAGTTGTGGTTGTTATCATATTTGTTGTTTTTATTAGGAATTATTCTGAGTCTGTGGAAGTTAGGATAATCTATTTAAAAAGTTTTTAAATATCTTAACAGAAACATTTCAAGTAACGGCTTGAACACATTGGGTGAAAGTATTCACTGTCTGGCTTGGAGGATAGAAGAAATAGACTATTGATGAACATATACTGGAACCATGTGTGACATTCTTCTACTTTCTGCAGTCTGATTGTGTGATG